GGGGGGGGGGCTTCGACCTGAAAAATCAGGGGTTAGGATTTGCACCCGATCGAAAGAAACCTTGCTATCGCAAGAGTAACTCCAGCTAGCTTCGCTAGCTTTCGTGACAACTCTGCTCTCGGCACGAGAACAACTTCCACGGCTTTCTCCGTTGCAGTGGGGCAAATCATGGCGGACATTGCTATCGTCCCGGACTTTCTCGTAAAGCTTCTTCTTGCCAACCTTATCGAAATGTCACAAGAGCTGGGCGATGTTATGCATGACGTGGTTTGTGCAAAACGAACCGCGCTGATATCGCTTGCCATGTGTTCAAAGGGTCTCGGCAACTGTCCAAGACCTCCTTTCTACCCGGAACTTCCCTGCACCTTGTTGGGAGCTGCCGCATCACCATGCTCTTCGTCGGCCACCTCCACCTAAGAGTCAGTTGGTCTATCCCAACGAGTCCCATGTAGGACTTGACGGTTGCGAAGGACGTTCGAGCGTTAAACGCCATTCATACATGTGGCTTCAGGTTCCATTCAACTTTGTTAGGCTGGGTGCGGCCTTGGTGACCTGTACCACCCGATGTTCGCCATGGCGACCCTGTGGTTTCACAACAAAGGACGTGATGTTTGCTTGCGCAAGTTTCCCGCACCACTACTTGCAACAAAAGACCGGCCCACAGCACATGTCCGAGTCAAAACAAGCAATTGACGCTGTCCTGGTGTCGTTCTTGTGTCTTGTGTGGGTCGAGTTACCACCACACGCTCGCCCACTGGTGCACCCTCGGGTGCCTGGCATCAAAACTGCTTGTGAATCTGCACGAGTGTATTTAGCAAGTTGGTCTGCAGTACACACAGAATATAACCACTTGAAGGCGTCAAAGCTTTCTGTCTGCAAGCTCAATAGGACAATCAGGCAAGGCTCTGGCATTCAAGAGGTTTGAATGGGAATTTAGAGTGGCAAGCAGCATGTCCACATCTTCGAGCAACGGAATCCACGCTTCCTGGTTGGTTTATCACACCTGAATGATGTTTTGTAGGGTTGTTCCAAGACTCCTAGGTCTTACATACTGTGAACATCTTCGCCGTGGGCAAACCCACAGCTTTGCACATACCCAAAACATCAGTATCAAGAAAGCATGGTTGGAGTAGGTTGGAGTTCTCTTCTTAAACCCTGAGAACTGTGCGTCTAAATGCGCAACACGCAGGTGCACCCAGCGAACTCTATCTAGAAAGGAACACAAGCTAGCTCCACGTCAAGGACAAACTCTGGCAAGCCAAACAAAATCAATGCTCTTCTCAAGAACACAAGTCTTTTCAAAGCACGAGACTGGAAAAAACTTGAAAGAAAATGCTGCATGCGTGCCTCTACAAGGTCCAGCGCACTCATTTCAGCTTCCTCACCTTCTCTCTTGGATGCCTGGAGCCATGTGTACACTTCTAGCATCCAACCTACTAGCGATGGCCTCCAACCTACTAGCGATGGCCTCCAGCCTACTAGAAAACGTCAAACCCACGTTTGGATCAAAGAAGTGGACGCCAATAGTGAATGCCCCAAAAAGCCACTAGAGTGTTTTGCCAAGACCTCGCTACCATGTCCTTGCTCACACCCAAAAAGGCTCATATAACCAAGGTTATTTTATCATATATATATATAAGTGTCCATCTTTTGTGCTGAACACTATATGTATATATATATACATGTATTGCACACCCTATATAATATACAGCTTAATCAGCCAGGGGTTTACCCGAGTGCAATGCAAAGCAATGGTTGGTGCATCTCTCAATTCACACCAACAAGCCTTTTAACTCTTTCAAGAAACACATATCCAAGAAGCTGTCAAGCTTCCTGAAGTAAAAACACCTGCCAAAGCATGCCAGGTTCACACACAGCAACATTCCCTCGGAGGCCTTGGTCCGTCGCCGGGTCAATTTGCAAAAAGCACCATAGAAATGCCGATGCAATGCATCCAGCCAGGCAGCCAGCCTCCCGATCCTCGGGGCTCCGCACCGTTCCCGCCATCTTCCGCGCCTTGAGGTTCGACCTCGAGGTTCGTTGGTGTCCGGTACTCCGGAGTTGCTCATCACAACTGCTGCGCGTCACGCCCATTCCGTTCGCCAAAGAGCTGAGGCCCCCCAGCACTATGACCACTTTTCTGCCAACCACCTGATCAGGCTCGAAGAACCTCAGCACACTCCAAAAATCTTCAACGGTATCTTTCAAGCAGGTCTAGGCACACTCCTGAAGGACACGGCCTTGCCCATACCATACCATGCATACAAAAGATGGAAAGCGCAGTGAAAACACTGTGCCTGTCCATGGCACGCCGTCTATAAAGGCCCTGGCTTGCCAATGCCGGAGCAGATCTGACGAGGTGCCTAGACCCAAAGCACTCCAAGTCGACGAGGACAGGGCGGGGCTCCAATCTACTGTACCTCTGGTCGAGTCTACTTGCTATGCTTTCTTCGGCATCACTCAAAGTGCCAAGTGAATACGAACTTTCCAGTGATCACTCAATGTCTGGCAGCTGGCAAGTGCTGCTCCTGGAACCGATTGGACCCAACAGCCTAAATGAGGAAAAACTGATCAGCTCGAAGACAGAGCAATTCGTCAGCCAGCATGAACTGCTTTTGGGCTTTTGAAAGCACGACTAGGGCAAAGTTGGCGCGGCTTCGGGAAATCCAGGCATCTCCGGACAACACTTTCTCAATAGCAGACCATGCAGACCATGCAAACCCTACATTGCCCACAAGGGCTGTCTCACATTTTCACCCCTTAGCCAAACATTCTCACGCCACAAAGCCTCTTCTCCGATGTCAATCTGCTCAACCAAGAGCTTGTCTGACTCCGGATGCTTCTCGCAACTGCCAGTGAGTGGTGAGGCCAAGGATTTTCGGGCGGAGCAAGAAATATGTTCACCATATCATTCGGGATCTACTTGTCAAGACAAACAGCTTCGCGTTTCCTCAATGTTCTTCATCAGTAGTTCTTTTGGTGCTCTGCCAAGACATACCATCCAAGCAAAAAGGTTAAAAAAAAATGCATGAAAATGCATGTTCCAGCGGCTTGACCCAACTCCGTCATACTATGTACTTGCTTCGCTTCTTCCTGCTTTGGTCACTCATGTTATCCCAAAGCCTCTTGATCTCACCAACTCGAAAATCGATTTGCGAAATATCGCTTTGGCCTGGCAAAGCAGCCAATGAGACAACAAGCAAGACATGAAGCGAGCATACATATATCCGACAAACTCACTTGCGAAGTAAAATCACCACTCCAATCAACAAAATTGAAGGTCAAGTTTTGGCATTAAGACCTTGCATATCAAGTGTTGATTCCATCAGCTGTTTGTCTCAGCTCAACACCAAGGTGATCGATCCAACTATGTATATGCATATATAATATATACACACTCAATCTTGCGAGTTTGGCAGCATGTACACAGACTCAGGCCTTTTCTTCTCACAGAAAGGCCACGACTTGTGAGCACCCTGGCAGTTACGGACACTCAACCACAGGAATATGTGCAGCTGAAGTGGCTTTCTCATGCCATTTCATCATTCAATCAGAAACACATCCGGATGAGACACTTACAATCTTTATAATCTGTCCGCAAAGACCATGCATCAACCAACGAATGCCGCGCAGCCCGGTGCGGGCCCCTGCAGCCTGGCTCCTGCAAGAATTGCCAAACATCCTTTCAGGCTCCAAGTGCCAGCGCCAGCGCCTGGAGCACTTTGGGCCTGAGCTCGGAAGGCGCGAAGACCAACGGGCTGGACTGGAAGCGATGGTATCAGGATCTTTGGAAGCTTCGAAAGCGGAACAGGCGTTTCGGTCAAAGCTTGGTAGACGCATATCTTTCTGAAGCGGATCAGGTGGGAAACTACCCCAAGGTGTCTAGTAGAATCGTAGAAGTTATCAAACGTAACGGCAGGACCAGCTCTGCTTTTCCTGTCCACGTTTCTTGCACACAGCTGCTTCAAAAGGGCAGCAGCGGCACTGGCACCCTGGGCTCACTCACAAGGTCCACAGATTGCTTCAGGTTTCGGACATGAGGGTTCTCATAGGGTCCCGGGTAAATATAGTCAAACAACTTGCCCAACAAGGGTCCAAATGTTGTGTCATTGGTGCTGTTGTTCAACCACGGTTAAGACCATGGCACCTAAACAATGCAACGAGCAACTTGCTCTAAACACAAACATCAAGAGCGGCACAAAAATTGAAACGAAAACAAGTGCCATTCCGGCCATGTGGCATCTCAGGACGCATTTGCCACTTAGCTACCTGAAACACGGCGTATCCTTTTGACTGACAAATGCAAAATCAAGCAAAAACGCCTTCAACAAAACTTCAAAACCATTTGTCCAAGTTTGTTCAAAGTACATTCTGCTGAGTCTTCTTATTGTGCATGAGGCTACATGGCTCAGCGTGGAAGGTGCGCCTGAGGTCCAAGGTTCCCGAGAAAGCCAAGATAACACTGCCTGCAGTGGATGAGGTGGCGAAGTAGTTTCAATACCAAACATGTTTCCAAGTATGACCCTGATGTCAGTTATAGGTTATGAGTTCCACCCAAGGTGCTACAAAGAGCTTGACTCTATAGAAACTGATGACAGGGCAAACAGGACAACAGTTGCTCTTTCGGAGGACCGCCTTGTTCACGGCCTGCGGGTTCTCGTCATGGGGCAAATGACCACCTGCATGATGCAAGCCCATTTAGAAAAACGAAAGCTATTCGTTGGCTTGAACGAGAGATGGGGGTTTTCACGTTGTATCATTGGACCAATTCTCCGGCCGTGTCCAAGCTGAGCCACCTGAAATGATCTCGAAGTCGATGGTCTTTCGCTCCTGGCAAGTCAAAACCATAGTTTTCTCCACATGTGGCATGAAAGTCATGAAACTCTGCCGAGTGGGTCACACGGAAATCCTGTGGAAATCGGATGTTGGAGACCTAACTTGGAATGTTTTGCCACAAAAACAACGAAATGAGGGATGGAAAGAACCAGGTTGATGGAAAAGGATACACACACCACCCTCCAGGCCGTCCAGGCCCCGTATTCCACAGGCGCTCATTCCACAAGAAAGGAACAGACCCTTTCCTTAACTTTCGTTCGCTGGGAGTGGAACTGGATCTGGATGACAGTCAGGTTCAAATTCACGGGATGACAGTGCGAAAGAAATCTTGCTGCAGAGGTTGGCTCAATGATTTTTGCAAGTTGATAGTTGCGAAGCGGTTGGTAGTTGCGAAGCAGTTGGTAGTTGGACCCAATAGTCCAAACTTTGAGAAACGCTTGTCCGCTTGTCGCCTGCGAGCGCTTCATTTGGATATGTCCGGCTGCTTTGGGTTTCCAACAGGTGGTCTATACAGCGGTTGGAGTTCCCAGAACTAACATTGCAGCCAATCCGTGCTGTTTCGAGTCAACAGGATCAATACCAGCACTACATATGTGTCCTGCACGGGTCATTGCCGAGGCAGGTCGAAAACTGTAGAGATATCGAGTCACACATGTCTGCAACGCGCGATCTTCTCATCCGAGTGTTCACATGTCTCGTGTCACCAAAAAGAAACAGGTAGCTATATAGCTGCTTTCAATGGTAGCTATCTGCTTGTAAGGCCCTAAGCATGAAACTCCTGATCAAGTCCCAGGTTGCAAGGGTTGCTACTCCGTCACTGTTCGTTAATCTCAAATAAGAATATTCGGGAAAGGTCTGCCTGCACCAAACACTAGCAAACCCTGTGGCTGGCAGCAAAGGTGACACACATACCTTGTATTCCTGATTGCAGGAAAAAGAATCCTCAGCCATATCCAGCCCATTCCCTCTGTACTATGACGATCTCAATTGAATGCAGCTGCGGCAAACACAGGGTAGCACCATCCCTCGACCACACACTTGGAAGCCTTCTTAGCTGAACGATGAGGTCAACAAAGCTTGCGGCATCACTCCCAACTCTTTTCCCACCTTGGCAAGCTCCGTGAAAAAGCTGCCCACGTCTCCTTGCGCGCTAGGGGTTGAAAAAAATATTCCCCTGACTGCAATCTGCCGACCCAACATGCCTGCTGGCAGCTGAAGTGCCCTTAGCAAGGATCAAAGAAAGAGTCTAGATCTGGTGCAAAGCAAGCATCTTGGATGATATTGCTCAAATGGCGGAGGTTTACAGTTTATAGTGATGTTATGTTTGTCTATGCCGGCTCGTTCAGCAAGTTGAAGTGCAATAAGCATACTCAGTATGCAATTGCCAAAACACTGCCCCGAGCCCATCTGAGGTCCTTTGATGGGCGTCAAGTTGTCTTGATCACCCCATATCACCTGGCCGATGGCAGCCGTCATGAACGGGTTTCGGCTTTCTCTGAGGAACCGTGTTACATTCAGAGAGCATCTCTCCAATGGTGTGAGAACGCAGCAGCGACGCAGCGAGGCCTTCAGCGGGAGATCGCTAGGAAATCCCTTGGCAAAGAGCTCCATGGGCGTCCTCAGGCGACACGTGAGGACAATTCTCAGGGGCGGCATGAGCAAGTTTCAACGATCAGAACGTCTTCCGTCTTCCATTCTGAATTCTTCATCCTTCTTTCTTCCGAATCGTTTGGACCAGTGACGGGCCCGGATCTCCGGTGTAGATCTGACGCAAGACCTCAAGTGCTCCAGGTGTTCCAGCAGGTCTCACCTTACGACGAACCGCCAGAAACGAGCCGCGAAAACCGCCAGAGAAGACCGCGAAAACCGTGTGCTGAGTTTACTCTTGCTTTCCAGAGCTTAGAGTTTGCACAGTCCCATAGCCTCATAGATCTCCTTCTCGAGCAGAATTCTCTCGTATGTAACAAACTTCAACGAACCAACATACTTGCAGGAACCCACAGCTATATCAGCCTCTACGCTATATTCTGACATGGCACAAATCCTTCTGCCAGCTCATCATCCACTGCAGAAGGGTTCGTAGGATATAAGTTTTTGAGCACAGCGGCGACCTCGCAGCAGAGGAATCTTGGAATCTGTCCGTGATATTCGTGGAGCAAAAATATGGTTCCAAAATGTTCAAAATATTAGCAATATTAATCTAGAAATTCCCCTCACATGCGAAAGTCATGTGGGTTGAAGTTATTGTTGTGTTCACTTCCACTTCCAACAAATGGGTTGGCATGGGTGGTGTCGTCACCAGGATCCCTCATTTAAACATTTGTTGCCGAGCATGAACCAGTGAAATGACTTAAAGGAGGGTGATGGCAAAGTATGACAGGGCTCATGAAATCTCAAATCTATCCTGGCCTGCTCTTTTGTTGCAAAAGACTCAAAGGCCATGTCCAGGATTGGCGATCGAAAAATCAGATCCTCAGGTCCAAGAAAGCGAATGCGTCGTGTTGGTCAGTGGCCCGCGTCGTGTTGGATCTTGCAGTGTTCTTTCGAGCATTATTTGCGAAAAAACAATGCACTTTACAAAACCCAAGTTCTGCCTCTGGATGAGCGGTGACTGGCGAGCTGCTACTTCTGACTCTCCACAAAAACAACGCTTGCCTTACAGTAAATCGATGTCAACAACTTCATGAAAATGCATCATCTTAGGTCGAGGTGCCACCAGGCCCAAAATCAGTGTGGCGACCAGTCTTTGCAAATCATTCATCTTGGGCGACTTGACCCTCAGACCGACCAACGACTTCGCAAGAACGAAATCCATAGTGCCTACTCAGACCTTCTAGTGATTCCACTCTGGAGCCCGGGAGTCCCACCGGTCCAGAGTCTGGACTGTACTTCCTTGAATCTCCAGTTCCCTTTGGCCTTTGGCCCTGCGACTGATCCCATGAACCTGTGCTTACCAACGGCCTATTGAGCAGAAAATTACAGCGGGAAGGAGGATGAAAAGAAAACAAAAAAAGGATCAAAAACAACATAGACCCAAAAGGGCAATTAAAAGCTAACAGTGATCTTGAAAATTAGCGATGCTGAAAAAACACAAAGGACAATCGAGGATCAAACTCAAAACAAATAAGGACAAAAAAGTAGAAGTAGAAGTAGGAGTAGGAGTAGGAGTAGGAGTGGTAGTAGTAGTGGTAGTAGTAGTAGTAGTCGTCGTCGTCGTAGTAGTCGCAGTAGTCGTAGTAGTCGTAGTAGTAGTAGTAGTAGTCGTAGTAGTCGTAGTAGTCGCAGTATTCGTAGTAGTAGTAGTAGTAGTAGTAGGAGTAGTAGCAGTAGCAGTAGCAGTAGGAGTAGTAGGAGCAGCAGTAGGAGTAGGAGTAGGAGTAGGAGTATGAGTAGTAGTAGTAGTAGTAGTAGTTCTTGCTTTCTTTCTTTGTCTTTCTGTTCAGTTCTGTTCTGCTCGGTTCTCTTTCTCTTTCTTTCTCTTTCTCTTTATTTATCTTTCTCTCTAGTTCTCTTTCTTTCTCTTTCTCTGTCTTTATTTCTTTCTTTATTTATGTTTCTTTCTCTTTCTGTCTTTTTTTCTTTATTTTTTCTTTCTGTATCTTTATTTCTGTCTTTTCTTTATTTCATTCATTCATTATTTTATTTATCTATATCTTTCTATCTTTCTCTCTTTCATTCTTTCTGTCTTTCTTTCTTTCCGTCTTTCTTTCTTTACGGTTCTTTCTTTTTCTTTCGTTCTTTCTTCCTTCCTTCTTTACGTTTCTTTATTTTTCTTTCGTCCTTCCTTCCTTCCTTCCTTGCTTGCTTGCTTGCTTTCTTTATTTATTTCTTTCTTTAATTATTTCTTTCTTTATTTCTTTCTTTCTTTCTTTCTTTTTTTCTTTATTTATTTTATTTCTATATTTATTTCTTTCGTTCTTTCTTTCTTTCGTTCTTTCGTTCTTTCTTTCTTTCTTTCGTTCTTTCTTTCGTTCTTTCGTTCTTTCGTTCTTTCTTTCTTTCTTTATTTCTCTCTCTCTCTCTCGTTCTTTCTTTGTGTCATTTCTTCCTTCTATTTTTTATTTCTGACCCCTATTCGTTTTTAGTTGATCCCTATTTACCTTTTTTGATCCCTCTCCCATTGCAACGGGTGATCCTGACTCCTGAAAGGCATTGGTGTCAGACTTGAACTCACACAAGTAGACCATGCATGGCTACTCTCTGGATCACTTCAAGGCAAGCATCATGTTCTTGTTGTTCATGCCCACTGCGCAATTCAGCATGACAATCCTCACATGTGACTGCAGTCATCAAATCCAATCCCAACCCACACCACCCAAACAACATTGCCCCTGACACAATGCTTTCCAAGGTTAGTACGTCAGTACGTCACACTATTTTTGGCCAAAAACGCACTATTTATCAAACATTTGGCGGTCTGACAGTGAAATTGCGTCCACTTGCACCGAGAAGCCCCTTGGGGCGTCGCTGCGTGGCGGAGACCAAGGAAATCAGGCTACCAAAGGAGTTACCCACCAAGACCACCTCAGCAGACACAAACAGCCTTCCGTTTCGCAATTGTTTGAAGCCAACCTCCAAAGCGCCCCCCGCCCACATCTGTATGATCTCCCCCTTGACTCACAATGGGCGTTCGTTTGAACATACACTAGCCACTTGAAGAACCGTCAACAACCTATGGGCCTATGGTTTTTGGACTGTCCAATGGTGGGACCCAGCTCTTGAGATCCATATTGTCTCTTTCTTTGGTGCTGTATTGTGGTATCTGCCGAAGCTACACAACCACCGCAAGAAGAGAAACTAAATTGGAAAGCTCCACTCACCATGATTAACAAAAACCTCGTGCGGTCCAGCAGTTCAGGGCAAAAAATCTACACCTGGTTTGATGGTTTCTCAAAGAATAAAGCCGAAGCTAAGGGTGGCCAACTCAGGGATTCGTTCTTGAGCTTTGCAGCCATGGTGCATCCTTCTCCAACTTCGAAACAAAGTCAGTGACCTTCACCATACGAATGAGCCAAACGGAAACATACGTGATGTTTGGACTGAGGAGGAGCATATCTTCAGACAGTCCACTTGAAAAGAAGCTGCAAATTGTGATCTTGGCTGAAGAACCTTTGGACCGCTTCGGCACATGCCCATAATCTACATCACTGTGGGAATATGTCCATATCTCATTACCAGTTATTGGAGATTCTCGAAGGTTCCCAACAGCACCCTCGTCTTCGCCTGCTCAGCCCAGAGTTCAATGCTGTACTCTGTGGACGGTTTCTCAGATAGGCCCAGCCTCCGATCCGATGCTGCAAATGAGCACATGGGCTGCAAAAAAACATGAGAACTACCTAGCTGAACAAGGCCCTTACGAACGTTGTGCAAACCCTTTTTCAAGAAGCCCTGCACTAGCCCACTTGCCCATGACCACTTTCAATCGACTTTCGCACAAAGCTCCTGTGGTCTCACCTGAGGTTCTACCTAGATAATGTCTGTACTGATTTCTGAGAGGTCCACAGCTTCCAAGAAAGTGTTTGATAGCAGCTAAAGAAATCTGCACAGCAAAGTGTCCAGCTTGGATCCCCAACCCCAAGAGGTCAAAGGCATGGACAGTGTAGCCCTCTGCCGACAATGCTGGGATCAACCGTCGCCAATACTCGATTGAGCCGCCGAATCCTGCAACTTGCGAGACCATCACAACCTTCGCAACCTCTAGATGGAAACGCCCAATAATCTCAAAGCTGCATGCATTCATAACACACTGATCCATACGCTTCTGACTCGTCCGATGAGCTTCTGAAGCTTCTAGTCTTCTCATCGAAGAGTGCCAGTCCAATTGCTTTGACACCAAACTGACCCCGGTCGCTCCATGCACCAGCACAATGTCTGGCTTTGAGACACTGCCGGCGCATGTCACGCAGCGAACACGGTGGCCCTGGCAGCGACATGTCCCACATACTCTCTAACCTGGATACATCTGGTCGGGTGCATAGACTTGACGCTGCGGTCTGACACGTCAACGTCAAACCCTTCATCCAGGTCCCTGAGTCTTTACAGCTAATTTGTCCGATATGAATGTCCAAGCATGGCCTTTACCCAAACACTAGGCCAGCGCGTGTGATTTCGCTGCTGACACTTTAGAGGACAGTCGTCCAGAGAGCCACTTCAGTGCAGCAAGCCTTGAAATCCACCTCCACTTCCTTTCCAGCAGGTAGGCTTCGTCGACAAAGCCGGCACCTCTCCTGCACTGCGGAGGGTAGTTAACAAGGCGAAAGCAAGAGAGATCAAAGCAAGGCAGGAGAAAGTCATGGCAACCATATAGCAAGAAATCATCCATATCCTGTTCTTCTTCCGTGATGTAGAAGCACCGTCTTGCATCAACCAATTGCAGGATTGAACATCAGACACAAGCCAACGAAACGGTAAAATCTGAAGAAAAAAGATGCAAAACTAAATGCCTACCAGGGTCCCTGTATGTCCTGGAAACTGAGCATCGAAATCGAAACGTCTTGGCGTGTTTTGGGATGCGTGAAGGGCGCTTCGGGGGGCGGGGTCGAAGTTGTAAGAGGTCTCGCCAGGTTGAGGTAGCTTGAGCACGGCAAGCTAATAAGTTGCCTTGAACCAATGAAATGGTTCTGGCATTACTTAGGAAACAATGGCATTGTGTCTGGCTTGCTGGGAACTGCTGTCTTCAAGCACAAGTCTGATCGACAAAGGACCTTGTTGCTTCTTATATAATTCCCAAACAGCCACTGCAACAACAAGAAAAGCATTTGCAATTGCGACAAATGAGTTTCCAAATAGAATACCAAAGCCGACCAAAACCCAACCAGCTCTGCTGAGATCCTGATTCCTCCGGCTGCCAAGCACTCCTGATGGTCGCGATTCAATTCAGTCACACGCAACAACGGTATTGGCCAAACAAGCTTGGGATAGCACTTGAAATTAGATTAGACAGAAATGTCCATGTCCTGACCCAACCCCATATGAATATGTATATATATATATAGAACCCACAGGTCAAAAAGAAAGCACCTATCACCAAAGCTCTCTCCTACTTAGAACATCGTCCACAATCTGAGGTGAGAACCGCCAACCCCAAAGCTCCAAAGCAAAGGCCATGGACACCTCAGCTTGTGTTTGGAGAGCTTGTCAGACTCTCTCAAACCACGATCATTCCACACCCAAAGGTCAACTTCAGCAAAGTGGTCCCCCTTCACAAGCAATGACTTCTTGGCTTGTTAGCATGTCGGGTATGGGCATCCAGAGCCTTGTCGGCAAAGTGGAGCCGCAGCGCAAAGGTGCAACCTGCCATTGCATGGAAACACAGGTTCAGGAAAAGGGCACTCTTGTCGAGGTTGCTGAACAGTACTCTTGTCAATGATCAGTTTATACTTTAAGGAATGCTAAATTTTTGTTCAAGACATGTTTCCACCACTCTGGCGCACCAAGGATCTCATCACAACGTCATCGAACCACTCCTGTCACCGGTCAGAGGGCCCAACCGGCTGCGCAGGCTGCGCTGTGCGAATGGCCGCACCATGGCCGAACCAAACTCCGGGGGAGAGAATCATGGTGTAAGGCTCCAAGCTGGGCAACAAAAAGCTGTGGCAATGGCATAATGGCAAAGTCTTGGCTCACCTGCTCGGGTGGCTTTCCAACGCAAGTCTTGCATAGGAGTTTTTTGCTTAACTTCACAATGTATTTGCACGTCAAAGGGTGAGTCAAAACATTTTATCTATGTTAAGAATGCTTTAGCCTTCATTCGCTTTATTACTCTTGTGAAGATTCACGGCACATTCGGTGACCCAAGACATGAATTTCAAGCGTGCAACGAGGCATTGTTGCTTGCTAATAAACGTTTTGCTTGAACCATTGGAGCACACCAGCACAACCACAAACTTCGAAGTATCTCTACAAGCCACGAAAGGTATTACAACTTCCGTCTGTTCCGGAATCTCTGTGACAGTCTAATGATCAGTCACAAAGACACATAACATAGAGCTTGCTTGTAGTGATCTGTACGTAGAAACCATTGTCTAAAAGGGTGGTAGACCAAAACAAAGTGAATGTACGAAAAGTTGCACTCCCCAGTTCGAGGAGGATCAACATGTTGGCATAGCTTGAGAACTTGTTAAACAATGATTTATTGTCTAATTATATATATATATATGTAGTTGTTTCTGGCATTGGACGTCTATGCAGAATCCAAGCTGCACCATGCTGCACCCAACAAATTGAAACAATGACATCCGGTTGCCTACTTATCCTCTTTACTAACCTACCTATCCTCTGCTCTTGCTCCGTTCCCAAGGCGCCCGGCTCGGAGCTTCACGGGTCCCGGCTCGGTGTTGACCTTCTGGGTGATGTGACGACCCGGCGGAGGCGCCAAGTGTCAAACATGAGTGCGACAATGTCAATCGTTTGGTTGGATTGAATGGTAGGTATGTGGGGATCCCTGAAAAACATTAAGGAGGTGCTAAAGAAAGAGCCATGACACTACTGACTACAGCCTGGCAAAGAATGTCCCAGATGGAAGTAGTGGAAAAGCGAGGACATCGGGTGCTTCATCCAAAGACCAAAAACGTGTCGATTGAAAAGCAAATCCTGATGCAAAATCTTCACACCTTCAAGGCAAAGCTATGCAAGAAGAAAAGGAAAAGTCAAAGTAAGGCTAGGACTCTTCAAGAAAAAAACAATGAAAACATGGGCAAACCTCCCCTCCACAAATCTTCAATTTCATCCTGTCGTGCATTGATCAGGAAAACCCAATGATCTTTAATGTGCCAAGCGATTGGGTATCCACCAACGATGGCATGACCATTCTAGCGACCAGGTCACCAGGTCGTCTATTACAGGACCATCCTGACGACTGACGCCTTAGGTTCCAGACGACCGATGCGGCAGGCACAGCACTGATGAAAGCCTGTCCTCACGTGAAAGCGACTCCTTGAGGTCAACGCAAAGTCTTAACCAAATCCCAATGTCGCTTGGTTAACAAAATTGACACTTGTCTTTTGCATAGAATGTGAGACAATACACAGGAATCTCAAGTTGTAGGGCTCGAAATGTCCAGCGGGATGAAGAGAAGAGGTTTGCAAAGGTAAAAACAATGCATCTAAAGTCGACAATCCAACACCTTTCCAACCATACACTTGGCAAATATCTGCAAACGATTGTTGCTACATTTGCTGCTACTTGCTGCTGCTGTCGTTGTTGGGACTCCCGTAAAGTTCCCCTGCATTGCCCTTACCCTACCAGCGTCGTGTTGTCTGGCTGTGTTTGCACTCCAGGTTGTGTTTGCAATTTGAATTTTTGCCTTGGGTAGTGTGCACAATGTGCCGTGTATCCTTTGGCTTTGTGCTGGTGGATCTACAAGCATGATGTTTGCTTGTAGGAAAATGTTTAAACTGGTGAAAGGTGGAACGCACGAACAGTGCAAGGCGCCCACAAAGATCGCAAAGACCAAGAAGGAACTTGATTTGCTGGCGATCTCAAGATTTCAGCAATAATGTTCAACTGAAACGTTGATTGAAGAAGAAGAGTATCCAGCGACTTGAAAAAGAATGGTGTTGTATTGATGCGAATGTTTGGTACCATATATCATATGCTAAGTACCTAAATTGCATCCATCACATTGATTTTCGGTTCTTTCTCCCTTTATTGTCACACAAAAGTACAGTAGAAAAACAGCATGTTCTGCCCTGAAAAAGTCAGTCTTACGACATGCACAAGCTTGACTTGTGGTGAATTTCACGGGCATGTTGACATACTTGTTTCCTCGTCACCAAATGGAGATGAACGACGAACAACAAATATTAGGCGACGTGAAACCACTTACGTTCCCTCACCTCTTCGCAGGCTCACAGCCACCAGCGACACTGCCTCATTGAGTTGAGAGCATTTCACGCGCATGCCCTGACACAAGAGTTTCAAAACAAAGGGTTGCTGATGCTTATGACTAACGCGGCAAAGTCCCGCCAAGTCTGTTGTGAGGTTTTTGGTGGAAAACAAATGCAAAAAAGGTTGACCATCGGAAAAAATGAAATCAGCTCAGGAATCAGCAATCAGCACTGGTCTCCTGGAACCGACCTCAGGGTTAAACACAAATTTCAATTTAGTTGGTGTATTGTCCAGGCTGTGGCCAAGCCTAAGAGCGTTTGAGTATCCGACCTGGTTCATGCCGCAGTTTTCCTCCACCCGTAAAGACTTGAACCACACTTTGGGAATAACACGAAGTAAGTAGGCGCTGAAATACACAAAAAACACATACACACATGACATGTTCACTGGATTGTAAAGCAACAAATTTGCACGACAGGTCCGCAATTTGCACTGACTCCACCAGGTCTGACAAAAACAACCCTCCGGGTCGGAAACAGAACGTGTGGTTGTGCACATATTTCAACATCAGAAAGCGTTCCCAAGCACAAAAACCCTATAAAAACCACATGTCTGGAGTCTCGGTTGTCATGGATGCATGGAACCTGACTGGTTTGCCTGGACAGCCCGGTGCTTTGCAGTAAAATCCACTCATGTCTTCTAAGTAGAGGGCATCGTTTGGATGCTCCAAAAACGAAAAAGTTCAAAAAACCCTAAGAACAGCCACAGAAAACTCGTGCGTTCGTGTGTTTTTTCAAGCCATGTCGGAGAGCTGCTTGGCACAGTCGAACATCATCATCAAGCCCTCCGAACCTGTGCTCATGAAACTTTAGACTGTCTAACGTCAAGATTTAACATATGGGTCAGAATAGCATCTACGGTCAAATTCTGTAATTTGTATGCACTTTTTGTTACTTTTGCGGCCGTTTTTTGCGGGTGGAGGCGCTGTGTGTGCCGAAAGGCACAAGTCACCTTGATTGAATTAAATAGGGTTACTGAGAAGATACGAGCCAGGAAGAAGAACAAGGCCCAACACAACCAAACCAAGCAACAAACACCGCAACAGCACCAACACACGCAAAGCGAAACAAAACGAAACAAACCGGGCTTGTATCTCATCAGGACTGTCAGAGCCGAAGCGACTGTCTTGAAAGAGAGGTGAAGCGGGGCATTGAATTCATTCTGTCTGCGCTCAGTTCAAGAGGATCAGGAGGTAGCGAACTTCCTTTTGTTGGGCAGTGAGTACCAAGGTGACTATTTCAGTACCGACTAGTCGACCAGAAGAGTGCTTGAGCATGTGCAGGAGTGAGGAACTTTGCAATCAGCGCACTGTGCAGAGGTGAATCATGACTTATGTCCAAGAGCACGACTTTACCACTGACAGATGCCGTTTATGGCAAGCAAGCCTCATCAGTCTGGCACATGGCTCCATCAGCATGCAGCAATTGACATCCTTCGAGCTCCGATTGCGTAATTTTTTATGCATTCCCCTGAGACAGGGAATGGTCGGTGCTGTTGGGACTCACGTGTTCAAAATCCCAATGAAAGACAGTGAAGCGCACACTAGCTAGAGCACGAGGGACTCTGCACAAAGGCTTTGACATGGGAGAGTGATGCTCAAAGGAGCCATTTGTCAAATTTACGAACGTCGTGACCTGCAGAGGACAAAGGACGGGACGAACCAAGACAATCGGTCTTCCCTCCTCGGCCCTCCCCCCCAAGCGGAAGGAGCGCTCCATGACATCAGTTCCAGAAAGGCGAACGGGAGCAACAGTACGAAGCGACATGACCTTGCATTGCCCTCAAGGAATATGGGCAGGCAGGACTCTGTTGACAGGCTCCCACAGGCTCAGCATCTCCGTATTTCAATTCGAGTGCTCTTGGATCCATGTACTGGGGAGGCCCTCTGTGGCGGGACCGGTTTTTGCTAAGGTTTTTG